GATGATTACTGTAAAAGCGATGAGTTAAAAATTAATGATTATATCTGTATTACGAAACGGACTTATTTTCATCTTAAGGAAGTGATGTATTTGAGAGTGTTTGATTTTCGCAAAGAAGCGTCGAAAGGTGATATAAAAGCTGAACTCGCTCGTAGGTAACAACTGTTATGCTTCACAAAGGCTCTAAAAAGTCGCATGAAACGTTTGGTTACGTCGCATAACTATTGGTTTTAAACTACAAGTCCAATAACTTTTTATTTCCGTTGGCTTCAGCTAGTTAAAGAATGCAATTTCTGAAGTTTCTTATTCTTGAATGTAGATTTTGGTAAACTAAAGTTTCTTGCATATAGATTTCTGACAATGAATCAGCGAAAATTTTACCGTCGAAATTGTTGACGGCGACACGCAGATCTTGTTCACATGATCCTGTCAACAATCGCATTCTCTAGTAGTATAGTAAACGAAAAGTGTAGAACACAATAGTTAGGCAAATAAAAAATGATGAAGGGAAAACGGGATTCGTGAATACAAATTTAATGACGAATAATATCCATAATACGTAAATTTGAAGATTTGCTTCATAAGAAGGATTTGAGAAGATTCAGTGTTTTCCGTGCTCGTGCCACAGGGCTTGAAGCGCCTGAGGGATTCTGCATTTTTGAATTCTTTCGTTGGTTAAGATATGTTTGAAATTCGTTTGTTAAAATCTTGTTCTACGATACGAGCAAGTGGAACTAAGAAACTTTCGTGCCTCGAGATCTAATGCTTTCCAATAAGGCAGTTCTAACTGCAGTCACGATGAGTTGAAGAAGATCCGCGTATAATCTCAATCGATACCCTTCGAATGGCGCAGAAGGTTTTTGCGGAATATTTCGACGAAACAATCGTCGTCACTTGACTTGTTTTTACCTACTGTTCTACATTCTCGCATTTCGGTGGTAAACTTCCGAGACATCTACTATAATGCATGCCAAATTAGGCTATTAAGTCAGCAAATGGAATAAAAGCATATGAAGGTTTTTGGTGAGCGTTTAATTTCCAACTATTACCAGGAAAAGCGTTTCTCTTAATCCGTGATGCTATTTTTTATGTTGCTATGCGTGCATTTCAAAGCTGACTGTTTTATATCAAACCGTAGTTGGTTGCGTCACTTTATCCTACTCATGGTATGGATTAAAAGAAAGCAGCGGTATTTGATCTTACTGTAATCTAGCAATTATATTTCGATTGATTGCATTGCAAGATTTGTGTCACACGGTTGGAACTTTCAGAAGCCATATTTCTCGCTGAAACTACTTGCGTTGATTGCCAATACTATTTTCAAAATAATCATCATGCCAAAATTGATCATTTTCTGATCCGCTACCGTTTTTATCTCCAACAGCTTTGCTATACAGAGTTTGTTACTGTTCATAACGTTTTTCAAGTATTTATATTTTTAAAATCTCGCTCCTGCTTGTTTCTGTCATCGTCTTTAGCTAGAATCAAGTCTGTGGTATTTAATATCCATTACATTCTTAACATGTCACCAATTTTTCTCCGGTTGCCGGTTTCCACCGGCTAATGCCTCCTAGAATGAACAGTCCGTCTTGAGCGTAGAATCTTCTTCATCGTATTTATACTTTCTCCTGATACATCTGCAAGTGCTTTCAGTCATGACGCTCGCCGACTGGACTGAAGAGTTTATGCTGAGCCAAATTTTCTTACAGAGCCAATTTTTTCTGTTGCTAATTTCCAGCTTCCAGAAACTACAGATAGTCAACCTGCTTCGACGACCGCTTATCCTTTTGAGTCGTTGAGGCAGACAGGTGTGACAGAGTCTCCAATGTCCTCGTTCCTGTGCCAGCCTTTCAGTTCGGAAGAAATCACCTGAGCTGGAAGAGAGTCCTTTGAGACATTTGGCCGAGATGATTCTTGGTTCTTTGGTTATGAAGGTAGTAGCTGATTAGCCTTCCTTCCTGGAAAAATTCGCAGGACAGTTCAGTCATAGCAGCTGTAGCAAGCACCAGCTGTACACAAAGTCTCTCGTGAACATTTGTACTTTCGACCATTTCGAGATGCGCAGGCCCAGCGATTTGTGTCAGGACGCCAATTTCAGCCGCTTGTACCCGCAACCGAAGTTTTCCAGTAAAGGCCCACGACTCATGGCCGTAGATGAGTATCGGGCTGAAGATCGAGTCGAACACAGACAGCTTGTTTTTCGGACTCGGCTCTGCTTTAGTTACAAAGGTTCAGGCTAGCTCACCAGAACGCCACTGGCTACTCCAATTCGACGGTCGATCTCTTCCTCCAACTTTCCATCACAGTAAATATAGTTCCGAGGTACCTGAACTTCTCCACCTGTTCCACTGCCTCTCCGTTAATCTGAAGAGAGCAATGGGCAGCAGGACGAGAATGCACTAGGCTTTTCGTTTTGGATGCGTTCACACGCATGTCGGCCACGTCGCACACGCCTGCAAACCTTATCAGAAGGAGCGCTGAAGATCAGCTTCAGAAGATGCTAATAAAACAAGGTCGTCTGCAAACAGCAATCTTCTCGACTTCACATCTCCTACACCAATAATTCATCGCCACTGCTGCTCCTGACTATTCTACCCATGTACAACACAAACAGGAGAGAGGACAGTACGTAGTTTGGCGATAGCCAATGCGATTCAAGAAGTTTCTACTTTGCGCCGTTTACTCTGATGTATTACGTGCTATCAACATAACACTGGCTGGCTAGCCCGTAGCAACCGGCAATCAATTCCATATGTTTGCAGACGCGCCCACAGCTTTGCTGCATATAATCCTGTTAAAGGTTTTCTCGAGGTTGACAATGCACATGTAACTTGAATGAGCGAACTCCCACGATTTCTCAATAATTTGACGTAACGTGAAGATCTGGTCAGGTGTGCTTTCTCAGACATAAAGAGACACTGCTCCAAGACACCTCATTTTCACAAACTTTGCGTATGTAGACTTTCGCGGCAGGCTCAAAAGGTAATGACTGGATAACTGAAGCAGTCTATATGGTTTTCCTTCTTGAAGAGGGTACTATCTCCGGTGTTCTCTAGACTATTTGTGTCATAACTATAGTCATTGCAAATTCCGTACATCGAGATTTTGCTTCTACTTATGCTGGGGAGGTATTCACGCGAATTCCCCACCGAAGACTGAGGAACGCAGTTCTAAATTTGCTTCAACAAAATCAAACAGACTTTCGAATTGGACTCTTATACAGGACAACATCGCCGTATTAAAGAAGATAATCGAACAGGGAAGGAAATTCCAACTACCTTCGCATGTGGCATTCTTCAAATTCCTCGCAGCTTTCGACTCGTTACATCATCAGTCCTTGTGATGCATACTGCGACTCTATGGATAAGTGCAGAAAAGGTACTGTACGACGATACAAATGTATGAAAGTCACATCAGAGCAGAAGAGTCGTTTTCGAACTGATTAACAACAACAGTGGAGAAAGTCAAGGAAAGGTACTTTCACTTCTATTATTTAACATACTTGCATTACTTGATGCGTTGGAGCATCGCTCCCAACAACACCGAAAGATTTACTAATAGACGACGAATGTATCCAAGAGTACTCATAACAGTTCTCGAATTCGCTGATGACATTGCATTGCTGAGCTACTCCATCAATGACTTAGTGGAACTGACTCGAGATGTGTGCAAGGTGGCCTCGGCAGTAGGCGTAGAAGTTAGCTCCATTAAAATCAAGATTATGCGAACACCTGACGTGACTAACGACCCAAAGATTCAATGGGGTGAAACGACTCTTGAGGAAGTCGAAAACTTCAAGTTCCTGGGCTCTGTACTGACAAGAGATGGAAATTGCGATATGGAAGTAAAACGGTGCCCTGCGCTGCATCTATTAAATTCTGGCGACTTTCTGGAGTATGGAAACACCAATCTATCCTGACAGCGATTAAGATCACCATTCTGAAAGCCACCCTCTTCACAATCTTGATGTACGGGCATGAAACATCAACCCTTTTAAAACGGCACTAAAAAATGTTAGACTCTTTTCAGCAGCGCTGCCTGCAGAACATTTTTAAAATGCGATGGACCGGCATCTGTCGTGGTTTCAAAAAACCATCCGGAGAGAGAATGGAGACTTATCGAAACCTATTTTCCGCTGGAGAGCAAAAATGACCGCAAGCGCATCGGAAGCCAACGTAGCACGCTCAAACAGCTGCTAAAGGCGAAAGCGGAACTGACCTTTGCCACAGTAACCACCATCGCCTGAATTATTCTGAGAAGTCAATGCATCAGACGTCATTAATCCTGATACCCCAGATAATGATGACAACACGAGCAACAGAAACAGCAGCATATTCATAGATTCATTGACACATGCTTACCACAACATGCCTTGTTTGTCCAAACCTTTGAAGCGTTTTACTTCTTCCGTGACGTTACCTACCTGCTATTCTTTGGGAGGGCTTTCTTGTGGTTGTTGAGGGTTAGCAAGTTTCTCAAAGCTCTCGCATGCGCCAAAGTATGATGCGGCGGACG